TGCTAAGGGCCGAGGCTAATTACCTTGGGGTGAGTTTCATCGTATGGGTGTGTCTTAGTTCTGGGCTGTTGCCACAAAACCCCTTAAATTGGGTGACTGATAAACAACAGAAACTCATTGCTCATAGTTCTGGAGGCTGGGAAGTCCAAGACCAAGGTGCCAACAGATTCCGAGTCGGGTGAGGGCTTGCGTTCTGCTTCAGAAATGCTGCCTTCTTGCTGTGTCCTCACACAGTGGAAAGGGCATGGGAACTATGCCTCTTCTTTTTTTTTTTTTTTTTTTCCTTGAGACGGAGTCTCGCCCTGTCACCCAGGCTGGAGTGCAGTGGTGTGATCTTGGGTCACTGCAACCTCCACCTGCTGGGTTCAAGCAATTCTCCTGCCTCAGCCTCCCGAGTAGCTGGGATTACAGGTGCCTGCTGCCATGCCTGGCTAATTTTTTGTGTATTAGTAGAGACAGGGTTATCACTGTGTTGCCCAGGGAACTCCTGAGCTCAGGCAATCTGCCCGCCTCGGCCTTCCAAAGTGCTAGGATTCCTGGCGTGAGCCACTGTGCCCAGTCAGTTGTTTCTATAAGGGCACTAATCCCATCCACAGGGTGAAATCCTCATGGTTTAATCATGTCCCAAAGACTCTACTTCTTAGTATTCTCACACTGGATATCAAGTTCCAACAGATGAATTTGGGGGGGGAGACTAACATTAAAACCATGATAGGGTCTAAGAGGCCCATCCTTGAGGCCATGGTTCTAGGATGGGCAGAACTGCCCATAGCCCACTGTGCCAAGACCCCTGGTTGGGCGACATCACAGGTACATCTGGGTTGGGAGGGGCCCCTGGTTCCATGTAGCCCGGAGATCCCCATCATTCCTCACTTCAAGCCAGAGGTTGGTTGGAAGTGACAGCAGCCTGATGGAGTGCTGTGTGGCTGCTGATGCTCGTGCTCCCAGACCTGCCCTCCAGGTCTGTCTGAGGTCACTGTTGCAATGCACATTTTGAATATTTTCAGCTGTATGTGCACGGCAGGGGCTTGGCCCATGCACTGCATGTGTAGCTCATACTTGGTGGGCTGTGTAATGTGTAGAGGGGTTGCCAAGGGCAGCGGAAATGTGGCCTTTTTCCAGCATAATCATGAGTCCTACCACTACCTGCCCCTGCCCCCTGTGGCCAGGACAGCTCCCACCCCTGATGTGGCTGAGATCTGCTGGGGGTGGAAGGACAAGGGCTGGTTGCTTTCTCCCGACTGACCAGTGTCCATTGCTCTATCCTTCTAGACTCCCGACAGCAAGGTGTCCAGGGGAGGGTACCTTTCAGGGCTTTGCCTTTGGTGTCAGGCAGTTAAGCAGGTCCCCTTCAGGCCTGTGTGGCTGTGCCTGGAGATGCACGGGGGGGCTGCTTCGGATGCCACGCCTGGTTTCCAGGGCATTCGCTGATGGGGGGAAGCTCAGAGACCAGACAGGGTTGGGCAGGGCTCAGCGGCCCTTCTGTGACCCCAGGGAGTGAGAAGGTCCCTGGGAGGCCTCTGCAGGAAGTCTAAGGCTAGGCCTTCTCCAGCCAGCTCTTTCTCTAGGCTCTTGTCGGCAAACGTGAGACTCTGCCAGCTCTGCCCTTCTGCCTGGCCCTGAGCAGAGGCCCAACATCCCCAGAATCTTCAAGATTAATTGTATTAGCTTCTAGGGCTGCCAGAACAAAGTACTACAGACCAAGTGGCTTAAACCACGGAAACGTATTTCTCACAGATCTGGAGGCTGGAAGTCCAAGATCAAGGTGCTGGCAGGGTTGTTTTCCTCTGAGTTCTCTCCTGGCTTGTAGATGGCCACCTTCTCGCGTCCTTACAGGATCTTCCCTCTGTTGCTCTGTGTCTTCATTTCCTCTTATTAGGACACGGGTCGTAGGGCCCACCGTAATGACCTCATCTTAATTATACTTAAATGTTTTAAAATTTTAATGGGTACTTAATTATACTTTAAAGACCCTATCTCCAAGTAAAGTCATCCTGTGAAGCCCAGGGGTTAAGCTTTCAACAGAGGAATTTGTTGGGACACCATTCAGCACACAGCACCAACAGATGCTCTGAGCCAGGGATCAAAGCTGCGCTCTCCCAGAGCCCCAGCCCAGGGTGCCTCCCACAGTATACTTGTTGGGCCACTCCAGCCCATGCTGGCTGGGGACACAGTGGCTGTGCAAAGGGTCTGAGGTGTCCAGCACGGCAGAAACAGCCGTATCCTGAGCTCATTCGTATTCAGCTCAGTCCTGGGGAGAGGAAAGTGGGGCGCTCAGGGATGCCTGGGGTGGCTCCCCCATTGCTTAGCTAAGGGGCTCTCAGTTGCCACGGTGACCTCTGTCTGCACAGTCAAATACACTCAGCCCAGCCACTTCTCTGGGCTGGAGGGCTCCCCCCCACCCCCAGAGTTCACACTGACTGTTGAGTCCCTTGGTGACAAAAACATGGAAACGGTTGCCATGGCAGCCATTCTTTGGAGCCCTCAGACTGGAGTGCAAAGTTCAGGATGCCCAGGGACAGCTGAAATGAAAATATGGGAAAATGTGCTTCCCTCGCCCTGGAAGGATGAGTCGGTTGGCATTCATTGCTCTCCTGCGCCTGGCTGTCCCTGCCCCTCCCCATCCCCTGGTCCATGTGTGGGTACAGGGGGTTGCCCTGGGAGTGAAGGAGCAGAGTGGCCCCCAGAGATGTAGACAGAAGCCAGCCGGCGTGGGAAGGCAGGCTGAGCTGGGGTGGGTCCATTGTCTGGAGGGGTAAGTGGGGGAAGTGATGACCGCTGGGCGTTCCCTGGGGACATGCGCTTGTGACTGCTGAAGCCACAGAGCTTGCCTGTGTCTTGGTTTCTCCAAGCTGCTGCTCCTTTCTCAGGAAGGCTCAAGTCTGCTTCATGGCCCAGCGTGGGGAATAAAGTGCTTCGCCTAGTGAAGGCTACAGGGTGTGCGGGGAAGGGGAGTGAGTGGATGGCTGTTTCTCTTGAACAGAGGTTGAGTACAGCAGTAGGCCTCTCCAGGTACCCCCTTGGCCTGGGGGCAATAATCATGTGTCCACCTCCAGCAGGTCCCCAAGAAGGCTCCATGAGGCTCTGATGACCGAGAGGCACCAACCAAAGGGTTCTGCACTCAGGGTTGTTTGAGAAACCAACATATGTATACAGGATTCTTAGGTTAAAGGCTCTGAAAAGTCCTGCAGTCAGAGCAAAGTTTCTCCTTTATTTATTTATGTAGCATCTCTTATTTTTGAAGTCTCCCTTACTATCTTGCAGAAATGATATCTGGGAACATTTGTCCTCTGAGTCAACAGCATCTCGCCACTTGTGAGAAATGCATATTCTAGAGCCTCACCCAGATCTGTTGAATCTGAAGCTCTGGGGCAGGGCCCAGCAGTGTATGTTCACAAGTCCGCCGGGTGACCGGGGGATTCTGTTGCATGCCCCATTTGGGGAAGTCCTCTACTAGGGAAAATACTGGCAGAGAATTTGGAGTAAGAGGAATGGTCTGGGGACCTTGGGCAGCACAGAGGAAGGGAGGCCCCCTGGTAGGGATGGCTTAGACATGGGAAGCGGCAGTCCAAGGACCCCGGGGCTCTGGAAAAGGCACTACAGCCACCCCAAAGGGTGGGTTCTCATCTTCTGCCTCTGAGCATTGAGGACCCATTATGGTTTTCTGAGACTGGTTGGAGGACCAGGCTGTGTGGAGTGTCATGAGGTCTGGTGTAAAGTGACTTCGGTCTTTGGAGAAGTGCACCCCTGAGGAACCTCCCTCTCCCCCGCCAGCAGTGCGCTCACCCGAGCGCCTGCCCTGGGTAGACAGCTTGCGCAGAGTGCTGGGGGCGTGGCCAGCACCTGTAGGCTTCCTGGACAAAGTGCGTCTCGACAAGGCCAGGAGATGGCTTGTCCCGACGGCAGTTCTGGGTGGCACCCTCAAAGCGTGGGAGGCGAAGCCTCTTGGAACAGGGGCCTTGGTCCTGGTGTTAGTAGGTGGGGGAGTCTACGATCAGCTTGCCACCACCCACGCGCTCCTCCATGGGACACTCTCTGCAGTCACTTCCTGGGGCTGGGTCTTCTTTCTCTTCTTCCCAGGCTCAGGCAGGGTGGACCTGGCCACAGCAGCTGGGGGCCCACCGGCCTGCCTGTGCTTCCTTGCAGCCGTCCAGATTCACATCCTGAAGGCGGACAAGGCGGGGGACTGGTGGAAGTTCACGGTGAACATCATCTCCGTGTACAAGCAGGGCACGAGCCGCATCCGCCGCGGTGACCAGAGCCTGTGGATCCGCTCGCGGGACATCGCCTGCAAATGTCCCAAAATCAAGCCCCTCAAGAAGTACCTGCTGCTGGGCAACGCCGAGGACTCTCCGGACCAGAGCGGCATCGTGGCCGACAAAAGCAGCCTGGTGATCCAGTGGCGGGACACGTGGGCGCGGCGGCTGCGCAAGTTCCAGCAGCGTGAGAAGAAGGGCAAGTGCAAGAAGGCCTAGCGCGGAGGCAGCAGGCGGGCGGGCGCCAGGGCGGGGCCGAGCGAGAGCGGGCGCCTGGGCCCGGCCGCCGCGGACTTGGCCCGAGAGGGCTTTCCCAGGTCGGGGGAGGGAGGGGGCGGGGCCGCACGGCGCGGGGGGCGGGGCCCTCGGCGGCCCCTCCCCCGGTCCCCACCCTGCGCGCCCCGGGCGAGAGCCGCGTGCGCGCGGGGCGGGGTGCGTCGCCGGCCGGGCCCTGGAGAAATGAGGACGAGACGTAGCTACCTCACGGGGCTCCTTCCAGAGCAGAGACGCGCTTCCCTGGGGCTGGGCGCGGCCGCCGTGGAGGGGCTGGGGGCAGCCTGCCCTGGGGCGCGAGGGCGGGCGCAGAACCGCACAGCTGGGGCCGCAGGCGCGGGGCGTGGATGGCGCGGAGACGGGGACGGGAGGAGAACTGTGAATTCTCAGGCCCGCAGTCTGGGCGAGGTGCCGAGCACCGACCGTACCACCCCACACGCAGCAGGCGGGATCCCCACTTTCTCCCCGGCCCCTTCTAGCAGTTCTCCGCGGGCCACCTGGCTGTCACAGCCTGGGCTCCTCCATCTGAAGGCGTCGGGCAGCATTTGGGGAACGGACAGCTCCTGTCCGGCCAGCATGCCCCAGGCGGCCTCTGTCTCCACTGCCACCTGCTGAGTGGGTCCTCCTGGGTGGGGTCTTGGGGTGGGGTGGGTGGTTCACCTGTGGAGAGAGGAGAGGAAGCCCCTGCTGCTGCCTGCCTCTGCCCCTGCCCAGTGTGGGGCTCGCCCAGGATTCTAGCCCATCCAGAGGGCAGTGGGCCCAGGGACACCCCTGAGAAGCCCAAGCCGGGTGGTCACCGCCTCATGCTGGAGCTGCCTGTTGGAGGAGGCATCGCAAACGCAAAACCTCCCAGAGAGTTTCCTTTTGGAAACTTGGAACCAGCCCCTTTTATGACATTTTCCAGGGGAGGGGGAAGGGGCACTGGCTGGGTTTACGGCAGTGACACTATTTATGTAATGACATCAGCTCCCACAAGGCCCCTCAGCAATGTCAACAGCTGCAAAGGACCTGAATGGGCTTGGAGTCTGCAGGCTGCGAAGGCATTTGGGCCTGGCTTGGGGCAGGGGGCTTGCTTGAGCTGGGATGGGGTTTGCTGGCTCAGCGAAGTACCAGAGTGCCTGAGCCATGGGTGGGCGGGGGTGCAGGAATGACCAGGTTCCTGGGGGCCAAGGAGGCCATGCTGGCTTCTGCAAGGAAAGGCACAGAGGCTGCTGGGCCTGCCCGCTACAGCTGTCTTGGTCTGGCCTGGGCCACACCTGGACGACCATACCTTTCCAGACAGCCTCTTTGGGGAGTCTGCCCGTGCCCTCCACTGTGCCCCAGCCCTCCTTCCAAAATCTCCTAGAGACACTCTCCTCAAGCAGGCAGCCCCTTTTGTTCTGACCTCCTCACACAGGGTCCGTTCCTGTGCCCTCGGGCCTCCTGGCTCCCCGCCTTTCTGGGCTCTGTGCACTGCCCGGGCCTCTGGCCCACATCCTCACACCCGGCGCACTGAATTAGAGGCCTGGCTCCCCTCACAGTCAGGAAATTGGTTTCACTTTCCCGGCCAGAGTTTGGCTGCTTAAAAGGGTCATACCAAGGATGAAGCTCGGCCCCCGGTGGTCTGGCTTCCCTCTGCCTTCCCCGCTTCTGCCCGCATCACGGCTGCCACTTATTGGGCACCTGCTGTGTGCCAGGCACTTTACCCACATGCTCCCGGCTTGTACTCATGACAACCCTGTGGGACAGGGACCCGTGGTCGCCAGCAAGGAGACTGGAGTACACGTGCCCAAGGTCATGCTGCAAATTGGTGGCAGGACTGGGGCTCAGACTCCAGAGCCCGACTTTCTGACCAGGGGCCACGCTGGCCCTCACTGCACTCCACCCGCCCAATCCCTGTGCATCCCGGGAGGGTGCTTTTGGGGGAGTGACCACTGAGCCCCTGGGCCTGGTTACTGCCTCTTGAGGACACTGGCATCTGGGCTGGAGAACAGGACCCTGGGGTGGGGCAGAGCATGGGGACTATCCCGTCTTCAGAGGGGGCAGAAAAGTGGTGGGGGACGCAGGGACGGACTTGCCAGACGGTAGCTCCAGGTTCCAGGAAGGCAGGCCTTGGCTGCTCTGAAGAGGTGGTAGAAAGGTGTTTTGGCTGCCTCGGGGTGGTTGGAGAGACTCCAGGACAGACTGGCAGAGGTGCCTCAGGGGTAGGAAGCAGACAGACCTGCCCTGGGAAGGGGCATTTGGCTTCCCTGAATTCAGCCTAAGGCTGCAAGACAGGGTCCCTCTCCAAGCTGTCAGCGCCCCTCGGATGCCCAGTGTGGTCTGTTGGGTGCCATTGGCATCACAAGGTACTACACTGCTGGGGCGGTTGTCCTGTTTCTATGCCAGTGTGGTTTCTTCACGCTGCCCAGAAGGGCTGTGGCAGGCCCACGATATCCCACCCTGGGCCTGGGTCTCACCGGTGTCCTGTGAGGGGCTTGCACTTGTGGTTTCTGAGGCCCCCTCCGCAACGGAGCCAGCGACACGCCAAGCAACAAGGCATCTTGCAGAAAATTCAGCCAGTGTCCCGCCCCTCCCTTCAGCTCAGCACCCCAAAGACCACAGGCTGTCCACCCAGTGGCCTGGCCCTTGGGGAATGCATCAGGGTGACCAGATTCACCAGGCTAGGGGCCAGGGCACGGTTGGGATTGTCCGGTCATCACGAGCTGCCTTTCCTATCCACGCACCCAGCCCGAACCCAGCCCACCACTCCCGACTGCAACCCCCGGCCTCTGCGGTCCTCCACTCCTGAGCCCCACTCCTAGGAGCAGAGGGAAATGGGAACTGAGGTGTTCCGGTTTGTACAGTTAGGAAGGGATGTAAAACGGAACTAGATTTTGAAGAGTGTATTAACCAGAATTGTGCTATGTAGGTGTTTGAAGAAAAACATACCAGATTAGTCTTTGTTTTTGAAACGGCTTCCCCAGTTGTCCTTTTTCTTAGCAGCTGGGTGGTCTGGTGTCCCTGACAGCTGAGTGCCTGCTCTACGGACGCGCAGTAATGCCGGAGATTTGCGGGGGAGGACGTAGGGCTGCCCCCCGGGATTCACCTGCTGGCTGTGGTCTCTGCCCACTGCATCTGTCCTTGGAAAGCAGGACAGGAGGCAGCATCCCCAGGGGCCTCTAGGTGGGAGGGATGGACACCTGGGGTCACAGCCCAGGGAGGCTGGGAGCTGCTCCAAGGCCCTGGAACTCTGCCTCAGTTGCAGCATGTTGGAGAAGGGTACGGACTTTCTTGGAGTTGCCCCAGGTTGGAATGAGACTGAACTCAAGAAGAGACCCTAAGGGATTGGGGAATGGTTCCTACCTTCAGGAAAGTGAAAGACGCTTAGGCTCTCAACATTTAAAGGACGCCCCCTTGAAGCCCAGAGCGTGGACAGACTAGACCCATTGATGGAGCCACTGGGCCATGGTCCGTGGACAAGTCATTCCTGTGGGCCACAGCCACGGCACACCCGGGGGGATCAAAATGTGTACTTGTGGGGTCTCGCCCCCTGCCGAAAGCCAAACCAGTCCCACTCCTGTCATTGGACGTTTCTTCCCATTCCCTCCTCCCAAATGCACTTCCCCTCCGCCCTCGGCCCCCTCCTCCTGTGTTTTGGATTTCTGTTCACTCAGAATTGTAAATGTTTAGTTGTGACCACGACGTATTGTTTGCGTCAATGTCCCTTTCCAATGCATACTAATATATTATGGTTATTATATATGAATATATTTAATGACATGGAAAAAGTTGTGGATTTTTTTTTTAAGTTTCTTTCCTTTTTTTTGGGGGGGGGGGGGGGGGGGTGGTTAGAGTTGTAATGGACCCAGATGGAACTTGTAACGTGGGCCTCACATGATAGAACTAAATTCAGATATCATTAAATAAACTCTTGTACACTGTGCTGTCTCGCAGTCTTGATTGGTGGCCTGGGCTGTGGGTGGTGGGTGTGTGGGGAGGCAGGGGAAGAATGGAGTTTTCGGGGAGTTTGAGGACTATGACTTCAGGCCGAAGAACTCCCCTGCAAGTCAGAGCCCGGGTTTCACCCAAAGCCTCAGAGACAGAGCGCTAACCCCCAACCCCCTAAAAGGCAGGAAAAGAGCAGTTTTGCTTGGAATGTCCTAGGGGCTTGCTGGCCATGAATGCTGTTTTGAGCTAAAAGGCTCTGGAATGGGACAGTCTGTATTGCAGGCTGTAGGAAACCACTCCAGGGACCCATCCTTGCCATTCCCTGGAGTTCCAGGACAGAGAGAGGGGAAAGGGGTCCCTTCCCACTTTGCCCTGCCTGCAACCCCCCCGGGTGGAGAGCCACCTTTGCCCCTCTCCATTTGATTCAGAACCTGCAGGTAGTTTCTGACTTTTACATAACTGGCTGCTTCTATGAAAGCCAAGTAGAGACTCAAGAAACTACAGCGGGGTTCGTGAAAGAGATCTTGCAAAATATTTTTTTTCAAGCGATTGCTAAAGGCTTCGTGCGGTGCAGAGACTGGGCCAGTGCCAGCACCACGCAGCCACCAAGAGCTGAGCTCACTTGGTTTCTGAGAGGCTATATTTAAACCTCCAAATGGTTGTGATTTCTTTATTAAATAAACAATTCAGTCATTAGGAACATATTGCGTTGCCATGAAAAGTGGAGCCGGACCGTCACCAGGAAGCTATCGTTTCTGCACCCAGCTGTTTCGAAGGCAAGCCTCAGCAACGGGCCCGGTCTAGCCCCTCAGCAACGCAGGCTCAACAGGCCCTTCCTTGGAAGGTACGGAGAGCCCCCTTCGCTGCTGTGAGCGAGCTGACTGGAGATGCCATTCGCTTCTGCTCAGGAAGAAACAGGGCCAGCCCTGCCGCCTCGGGGGTCTGGCTCTGCGGAAGGGAGCTAGGCTGTCAGAGCCTGGGGTCAAAGCCAGGGCAGGTAGATAACCTGAGTGGTCTCTGGGTGTCCCAGTCTCAGGTGTAAGTCCCTGCTGAAATGACAGTGCCTGACAGTGGGTGGGCAGGGATGAGATCCAGGTCTCAGCTGGCCAAACAGGCTAAGGAGAAACACAAGCCTTTTCAGGGGTCTCAGGTGGTCCCCAGGGCCAGCGGGGTCACTGGTAGCATTTAAGACCCACCGAGAGACTCAGCTAAGAGGCCTGTGATGCATTTGAGGCAGTTTCATTCTCAGCTTTCGTCCTTTTAGGTCAAGGGTCCAGTTTTCAAGGACTTTCATGATGTGGCTTTTTTCTTTCCATTAAAAAAAAAAAAAAATTAAAAAGGTGTGTGTCTGAGAGCCCGCCTTTCCTTTGGGACGCCACCACAGTCAGGCCGTGTGAGGGTGGCTGCAGCCCCAGGCCCAAGGCCAGACGGAAACACACATTAGAACATGTACTGTCACCAGCCCCTCTGCCTCCCAGGACATTATGCTCTAGTTGGGGGGAGAGGGCATCTGCCAAGCTCAATGCAGGAAATAAGCTGGGTTGCTGCTAAGGACTGGCCCAAGGCAGTGGGAAAAGCCCATTTTAGAGATGGGAATGCTGAGTCACAACGAAGCTGGGTGATCGCCATCAGGGACCCAGAAGCCAGTGCCATCCATTAAAAAATGCCTGATGGTGGGTGAGCAGGTATGTCAGAGCCCTGCGGGGGTCAGAGCTTCGCGGGGCCTGCCCGGCCATCCGAGCTGCCATTGGGGAGCCTTGCTCATTCATAAGGCTCTCCCCTGCCCATTCCCGCACCACCTCTCAGAGACAGCGCCCTGGCATGGGATGCCCACTCGTGGCAGACACACCCCTCGGTTTCAGATTTTGTTGAACAGACATCTCTTTCTCCACTCTTCTTAAAACTAAATAAAGACACATAAGAAACAGGCCAAGAAAAATGGGGAATGAAAAGAATAACGGAGCCAGTAAGAAATAGAGGATATGGACGGATTACACGCCCGCTTTATCCGACTGGAGCCTCAGCGGGACGGCAAGTCCTTTCTGGAAAGAGGTCAGTGTCTTTTGTTAGTGACATGGAGTTGGGAGGGTCTGTGAAATTGTAGGAAGCAATCGGAGGAAAGATGGGTCTTGGCCCCCTTTTTAAAATAAGGGGCAAAACCCCACTTAATTTCAACAGGGCTGGGTTAGAAAATCCAAGTAGCTAAGAGATGATCCTTAACTAGTCTCTGCTTAAGATGTCAGTGTCACTGTGAACCTCAAGAAGCAAGGCATACAATTCCAAGGAGGCTAAGGCACTCGCTTTCCTGACTAGGAGGAACAGTGCGGCTGTTTGACCAGCCAGCAGTTCTCTCCGACTAGTCAGGAGGGAGCCTCGCAGGTTTTTTTTGTTTGTGTTTTTTTTTATTCTTGAGACAGAGTCTCCCTCTGTCGCCCAGGCTGGAGTGTAGTGGCACGATCTTGGCTCAGTGTAACCTCTGCCTCCTGGGTTCAAGTGATTCTCCTGCCTCAGCCTCTTGAGTAGCTGGGATTACAGGTGCCTGCCACCACACCCAGCTAATTTTTTATATTTTCACCATGTTGGCCAGGCTGGTCTCGAACTGCTGGCAGTTTTTGAAGAGGGGCCATCGGGAACCTGCATCAGCCATGTAGAAGGAGAGTTTCAGGGATCTAGCTCATGGAAAAAGCCCAATCCCAGCCAGGCCGAAGGCTGTAGGCAGCAGAGAAAGAATTTTCCCTATCAAAGTCACAAATGACCGGTGGAGGCCGTGTCCAGGCGGGGGCCCTGCGGGTTTTGAAAGGAGCTATCACCCTGGGGCTAATGATAACTAAGGTTTAGTTACAGTTACTAATAAAAATGAAGTTTAAATGGAACAGAAGGACCAGCTGTACCCAGGTATCTGGATTTCTTTATATGGTATCAAGAGTTAAAATGCTTATAATTAATAATCGGTTAAGTTAAACAGTACTTACACTGTTATTTTAATCACGTTTCTTTTCATTGAAAAGGCACCCGAGGTTGGTGGCTACTAAGGCCCTGCCTTGCCTTTCTTCTTTATGCTTGGAGAGAGGGCTTTAGGCTTGCCCAGCCAACTCCAAAGCACTCACTGTGGGTCACCCAGGACTGTGGTCCTGGCAGCTTTGAGGGGGGAAAAGCCAAGCCTTTCAAACCATGCTTGAAAATGCCATCTTTACATTAGCCACGCTCTCTAGGGTGGCTCTTGAGGCATCAAATCCCCAAAAGGGACGCATCCCAGCCACTTGGGTATGCTTGCCACTTCTGGCCTGGTTGGGGTGGGAGTCTCATATGTCACCCACCCCTTGAGGAAGGCAAAGGGGAGCCGGGGTTTTCCTGCCTGGCCCGTTGCCACCCTGTGTGGCCTGTGCTGCCCAAAGCCTGGAGGGCAGGTCCGTGCATTCTAACCTACTGGGTAGCTTTTTATCTGCCCTGCTCTGCCTGTGGGTCCAGAGAAGTGAAGTAACTTGTCCAGGGTCACACAGCTAGCAGTGCTGGGGTCGGGCCTAGAGCCCATTCAGCCAAAAGAACAGAAGCTGCTGTGTGCAGACATCAGCTCAGTGTTTTGCGTGAAAAGGCCTTTCAGTCTGACTGAGCCAGGACTCTGTGGCTCTGGTTCAAAGACGCCCCCACGAGTTGCCGGGGCTCCGTGCTGAGCAAGTCAAGAGGAGGTGAGAAAGTCAAACAGACTGTCAATGCCGCCTCCCCTGAGACCCAAAGTTGGGGGCTCCCTCCAAGGAGACGCTGTTTGTAGAGATTTGGGGTTTCGCGCAAGACTGGAAGATGAGGCACTACAGATTCTTGATCTGCTGTTGGATGATCCGTTAGCAACCACCCCACCCCGATGAGGCGGCGCATCCCAGGGCGACTTACCAGTCAGAAGCCCTTGGTCCCCTGTCCAGCGTGGCTCCTCTCCTTCAGGAACACATGCACCTACAACAGGCCCGCTTCCCTTCCTTCTTCTTCCTGTGACAATCCAGGTCCCCAGCGGTATGGCTCATCCTCACTGCTGCCTCTGCTCTTTATCCTCTCAGCCCTTCGCACCTCCTGTATCGATGCAGCCCATTTCATTCTTCTAACTCTGCTTCAAGGGCCTCGACATCCCAAGGCTAGCCTGGGTCTGCATGTGTTGGCAGCTCCTGGAAGCAGGGATCAGGCTCCATAGAGACAGGAGAGCGTTCTCCTCGGCCCTGGTGCACACTCACATCCTCACAACGGTCTGTCCTATTGCACCAGGTGGAAGCGTGTGGCAGGATCCCCAGGATGTAGACTTGGAAGCATCTGGCCCACTGGGCTTAGGCTTGGGTTGGGGAAGAAACTTCTTTTTTTTCTTTGAGACAGAGTTTCGCTCTTGTTGCCCAGGCTGGTGTGCAATGGCGTGATCTCAGCTCACCGCAATCTCTGCTTCCCCGGTACAAGCGATTCTCCTGCCTCAGCCTCCTGAGTAGCTGGGATTACAGGCGTGCGCCACCACGCCCGGCTAATTTTGTATTTTTAGTAGAGATGGAGATGGGGTTTCTCCATGTTGGTCAGGCTGGTCTCGAACTCCCAACCTCAGGTGATCTGCCCGCCTCAGCCAGAAGGAACTTTCTTTCAGTGGAGCCAAGCAGGGCGCTCTGTGCTTGTGTGTGCCAACTCACTCTGTCCTCACAGCAACCCTGTGAATAGGAAGGACACCTCATCTCCATGCCCTAGATAAGGAAGCAGAGGCAGAGGAAGGTAACTTGCCCGTGGTCTCTGAGCTGGTAAGTGGTGTGGTTGTCATTAGGGTCGTTCACTGCATATTTCAGGCTCTTGGCCTTCCAGACATTTCCTGGTCCCCTCATGGTGAAGCAGGCCAGGTGACAAGTTCTGGCCAGTGAGCTGTGAGCAGAGGCAATGGGTGTGCTTCTGGGCCGCACGTGTCCCTGTGGCGTGAGAGCTTCCAGAGCTCCCTTGTCCTTTGCCAGAGAGACCACGGTCGGTAGCTTTCCTGTCTGCGGGGGTCAGAGCTGGGCAGGTGTCTGGGCCCCCAGACCCCAGGTCTTCCCGGGACCCCTGGAGCCCCCAGTCCCTAGGAAATGACATTACATCAGGCTACACGTGGCGCTCTCTCTGGTGTCTCTGTCCACAGGGGGTTTCAGGTCATGCCCTTTTGAGCAAATCTACCAGAAACTCGCCTGCTGTGAATCCCCTACCTTCTTCACAGTGAAATCTTGTGCTTTGGAAATCACCCATCATCAACCCTAATTCCTTCCCCTTTCGTCAGGGAGGGCAGAGCAAGGCCAGCTGGCCCAGCCTGCTTTCCACGCGGATAAGAGAAAGCACAAGGTGCTTGGCCCCCTGACCCCTGCTAACACGAACTCAGCCGTCCATGGGCCTGGCGTCTTCCGCAGGCCTGCCCCATCTGTCTGCCCTTTCTGAGACACACACACACACGTACACATGCGCTGCGCGAACTCACACGGGGCCGTCGGAGCCAGGCGAGGCGCCAGGTAACAGCGTGTTCTCCTGACTTTGCAATCTCATCTCTCTGAACCCTCCACAGTGCTTTCCAGCCCGACCACCTCCTGCCCCACCTGCCTTATTCCACAGACTTGATTCCGGCTGCTTATAAAGATGTGTCAGCCCTGGAAGATGAGAGTTGATTGTCACCAACGAAATGAAAAAGAATGTGCTTCCGGGGCTAATGGCAGTTCCCAAAGGAATATTTCTGTGAAGTGGCGGCTGGCACCCCTAGGAGGAGTGCTGAGCCTGGCGGGGTGACTCGGGTGGGGCAGGGCGCCAGGGTTGTGGTTCCACGCTCAGACACAGGCCTGTGTGGCTCCTCCGCACAGCCCTCACCTCACTCCTTCCCCACTACCTGGACACACGTGGCCTTGAATGTACACCCATTTCCTGCACAGACACGTGGCTTCCACAAGCAGGCCGGACGTCAAGGTTTCAAAATGCCTATTAATCCAGTGGCCCCAGGATGCCCAGAGCACTGCGGGGTGGCCAGAAACCACTGGCCGCCATGAGGCAGGGGACCCCGAGGGACCTCTGGCCAGCACCAAAATGACCAAAGTCAAAACTCAAAGGGCCACGCTGGGCCCAGTGCTCTAGGCAGCTCTGCAGAGCTTTCAGTCTTTGCTTTATTTATTTATTTATTTATTTTGAGACGGAGTATTGCTGTGGTGCCCAGGCTGGAGTGCAATGGTCCACCTCTTGGGTTCAAGCAATTCTCCTGCCTCATCCTCCCGAGTAGCTGGGATTACAGGTGCCCGCCACCACACCCAGCTAATTTTTTTTTTTTTTGTATTTTTAGTAGAGACGGGATTTCTCCATGTTGGTCAGGCTGGTCTCAAACTCCTGACCTCAGGCGATCCACCCGCCTCGGCCTCCCAAAGTGCTGGGATTACAGGCGTGAGCCACCACGCCCGGCCAGAGCTTTAAGCCTTTACTGAAGCAATGCACAAGGGGTCGGAGCTTTGGGGGAATTTATTGAGAGCAGGTTTTGCGTACCAAAAGGGTGCTGGGCTTGTATCTGTCACTGGCAGGTGTCACAGCTGATGGTTTCTTTACCACCATCAATTAGTCGGCCAGACCGCAACCACCACGATAGCCACGAGCAGCAGTAAAATCACCATGATCATCCCTGAAAAAGAGGAGCAGAAAATACTACTTTTAATGGTTCCTGCCGGAAAAGCTTCACACATTCTGAGTGTCCGCAGAGAGTCAGAGGGATGTAGTTGCCTCTGAACCTTCGGCTTGTACGAGGCGGAGCGGGGTGGTCGGCGGCCTGGGGCGCTGCCGCTACACAGCTCTGGTTTTGCAGGATGGTGAGTGCAGAAGGCAGGGGCCTGGGTGTGGCCAGGCCTCCCCAGGCAGCGCTCAGGCCAGGACAGGGTGCCTGCTATGCCCCTAACTCTAGCATCTGTGTACACCGCAGACCACAGGGGAGGGCGGAAGCTGCTCACGACAGCCACCCTCGCTACCCAATCAGATTATGCATTGACGACACATTGATAAAGCCAAGGGCTTAGGAGAGCCTTCTAGAACCCATTCTCCATTCTCCACATGGCTTCACTTTGTCTTCTTGAGTCTAAGATCCTTAAGTCACCCATTTCTACAAATATTCACAGACAGAGGTGCTTGCTTTAATATACACTTTTTCTGCGAGTATTTGCTAGTTTCCTTTCCTGACATTTGTGGCTGGAGAGCATGGGCCCTCCCCACCAGCCCACCTTGGGCCCCGCTCTGCCTGCCAGCCCTGCCCTGCTTCCTCCGGGTCGTGCGCCTGGACTGACCATTGCCTGTTCCTTCACCTGATGCTGATGAAGTGGGCCCCAATGAACACAGCCCTCACTTAGTGCAATGAGCTCACTGTCTCCCGTGTTCACTCGCCTAGTATTTAACAATGAGTGCTTACCACGGCCAGGTACCAGCGGCGACAAGGTGTAGCATAACAGAGATGGGGCGCACCTAATACAGAGCAAGCACTCAAGAAAAGTTTGCTCACTAAAGAGTCCTTGACCTGCCAAGGCCCCACGAGGGAGGTGGGTAGCAGAGGAGGAGAGGTCCATGAAAATGCTTCAGAAAGTAACAGGGAGAGCCACGTGTGCAGGGTCACGTGGTTGCGTGGCCAACAGGACTGCTCAACACTACTGTAGTCTGTGGCATACGTTCGAGAGCAAAGGAAATGCTGTTTCAATTAGACATTTGTGAAAATAAGAGTGCAATTTGCTTTTCTGTCCAAGTTTACAGACTTCCTGAATCCCCTCCCCAGATCCTCAGGGTTCAGTGTGGATCAGGTCGTATCAATCTTAAGCTCAACCCTTGTAGGCACTTTATCATGGTTTTGAATATTGAGAACACTTAAAAAGGTATGGCAAGTGGCTGGGTACGGTGGCTCATGCCTGTAATCCCAGCACTGTGGGAGGCTGAGGCGGAGGGATCATTTGAGGTCAGGAGTTCGAGACCAGCCTGGCCAACATGGTGAAACCCCATCTCTACTAAAAATATATTTAAAAAATAGGCCAGGCGTGGTGGCTCATGCCTGTAATCCCAGCACTTTGGGAGGCCAAGGCGGGCGAATCACGAGGTCAGGAGGTCGAGACCACCCTGGCTAACACGGTGAAATCCCATCTCTACTAAAAATACAAAAAATTAATCGGGCATGGTGGCAGGCACCTGTAGTCCCAGCTACTCGGGAGGCTGAGGCAGGAGAATGGCGTGAACCTGGGAGGCGGAGCTTGCAGTGAGCCAAGATAGTGCCACTGCACTCCAGCCTGGGCAACAGAGCGAGACTCTATCTCAAAAAACAAAAACAAGAACAAACAAAAAATATTAGCCAGGTGTGGTGGTAGGCACCTGTAATCCCAGCTACTTGGGAGGCTGAGGCAGGAGAATTTTTGAACCTGGGAGGTGGAGGTTGCAGCAAGCTGAGATCCCACCACTGCACTCCAGCCTGTGTAACAACAGCGAAACTCTGTCTTTAAAAAAAAGAAAAAGAAAAGAAAAAAAGTATAGCAAGCTACTTTGTCATCTACCTGTGACTGTGGTTGAATTTGTCTAATATGGGCTCTTTCTCTGATGATCCAATCTTTTGAGAGACGCTTCTCTCGCGGCCCCAGGGTTTCTCCCCGTCTTCCTGTAGGCGAAAACCTCAGCCTAGTCTACCTCAAGGCTCTGCCAACTTTGGTTCATAGGCCAAATCTAGCTGTGCTTTTTGTGCAAACCATGAGCTAACGATGGTTTTTATATTTGTAGAGGGCTGCCAAAAAAGTGAAAGAAGATGTGACACCGTCTGTGGTCTGCACAGCCTAAACCGTTTACGACCTGGCCTCTTCCAGAGGCTTGCTAGCTCCTGCTCTCCATCACAGTGACTGATAATGGCCCATCTGCAGCATCAGTTCGTCTACTTAGGCGCTGGCTTTCAATGCACTCTTCATTTCTTTCATCTAGGGATTGTCTTTCTTCCTTGTAAATTCAGTTCTGCATTAACATTTGTGGGTGGCGTTACACTATTTTACCTAACATTTCAAGATGCTTGCAGCGAGAAGGTAGGGGTAGGTGTGTAGGGGTAGGTGTGTAGGGGGGTGTGTGTGTGTGTGTGTGTGTCTGTGTGTATGTGTGTGTATGTGAGAATATCTTAGTCTATCTTCTTGCCAGAAGCAGAAGAACAAATCTTTTCACTGATTTCTGCTCCAGAAACATCTTCAGGTTGACCAAAAGCTCCCCTGGGCAGGACCGTCACTAGTTCTCGGTTATTCTGGTGCCTGTGTGGCGTTTGGTTGACGACTTGGTCCTGGCTGGGTGAAGGTTTACGCTGCACAACAGCAGAAGATAATGGGAATGAGGAGGCAGGCACAGGCGGGGATGGGTGGAGGGGGCAATCCCTGGCACTCTAGGGCCTGGGCTCACCCTAAGATGAGAGGGAGGGGCTGGCAGCTGAGGAGATGAGGGAGAGGATGAGAGGTGTTTTAGGAAGAGGTACTGCTCCTGAGGCTCCGGTGGGATCACAGTTGGGAGGACACTTGGGCCCAGAAGCTCTGTGCAGCAAGGTAGGCTCCACACTGAGGCTCTGATGACCGTGAATTGTCAGATCAGGGTGATTATCAGAACAGCGGAACGAGTGACAAGAACAAAGAAATCAAGAACAACAACTGATTGGGAAGAGGAAAACACGCATCTGGTTTCAGTTCGTACACCCCGAGCGTGAAGTCCAAGGGAAGAGGCCTCAAGGCATCCACAGTCACTGCCATCCCTGATTTGGCTCCCCGCAGTGAGGGACCGCTTTCCTAGGTCCCGGCTCCATGATGGGGCTACAGCAAGCTTTTCAAAATGTAAAGCAGATCAGGCCACCTCCTTGCTTAAATCCTCCAGTGGCTGAAATTGAGATCCAAACTTTACAGTGTCCAAGGGGGTTCTGTACAACCTAACCAAGCAATCCTGCGGCCGCATGCTGTGCACTGTGCTTGAGCTATCCTGGCTGTCTCTGGAGCCCCTGGCAGGCCAATGCGGAAGGTAGGGGCCCTGCCTCCTGGCTTCGACACGTGCTATCCTTTCCATCCAGGAGCTCCCCACTCTTGGTCTAGTTAATCCCCCAAACTCAGTGGCACTTTCCCAAGGAACTCTTTGTTGTCCTCCAGTGCCCTCTTTGCCCCCCTAAGTCTCCATGGTAACCCTTATTAAATCTTGTTTTTTTTTTTTCTTTGAGATGGAGTCTCACTTTGTTGTTCAGGCTGGAGTGCAGTGGTGTGATCTTGGCTCACTGCAGCCTCCGCCTCCCAGGTTCAAGCAATTCTCCTGCTTCAGCTTCCCACGTAGCGGGGATTACAGGTGCCCACCACCATGCCCGGCTAATTTTTGTATTTTTAGAAGAGACAGGTTTCACCATGTTGGCCAGGCTGGTCTCGAACTCCTGACCTCAAGTGATTCGCCTTCCTCAGCCTCCCAAAGTACTGGGATTATAGGTGTGAGCCACCGTGCCCGGCCTTGAATCATTATTTAGGTCCTCAGCTACTGACTGTCTCTCTTGGGCACATGAACATCTACACCAGGGACTGTGGGTTCTCATTCACCGCCATATCTGCCATACCTAGAACAGAGCTCTGGCACAGGAAAGAGGCAAACACACCTGCGTGTATGTGTGTGTGTGTATAAGACAAATGAGTAAATGTGTTGAATTTTTGGAAGGGATAAGAAGAGACAAGAGAGGCACAGAAGGAGTGGTCAGCAGAGAGGGAGAAGCTGAGAAAATGTGGCAAGAAGGCGAATGTGCAAGAACATTCAAAAAGTGGTCAATGCCAACCCAGAATACTGCAGAGAGAGGAAGACAGAAGAACGCTCTTCTGCAGAAGAGCTGCAGAGACCTTTCAGAGTACAGTTTTAGCACACGGTGGGTGGGTCTATTGGAACTATTATTAATACAGTGGTGCTTAAGCTGCTATTTTTCTACCACAGATACTGTAAATTAGACAAATTATGCCCCAGTAAAGGCATGACAGAGCACACAGTATCTATAAAAAATGAAAATGGGGCCGGGCGTGGTGGCTCAAGCCTGTAATCCCAGCACTTTGGGAGGCTGAGACGGGCGGATCACAAGGTCAGGAGATCGAGACCATCCTGGCTAACCCGGTGAAACCCCGTCTCTACTAAAAAATACAAAAAACTAGCCGAGCGAGGTGGCAGGCGCCTGTAGTCCCAGCTACTCAGGAGGCTGAGGCAGGAGAATGGTGTGAACCCGGGAGGTGGAGTTTGCAGTGAGCTGAGATTCGGCCACTGCACTCCAGCTTGGGCGACAGAGCAAGACTCTGTCTCAAAAAAAAAAAAAAAAAAAAAAAAAAAGAAAATGGGCCAGGCGCAGTGCCTCATGCCTGTAATCCCAGCACTTTGGGAGGCCAAGGTGGGTGGATCATAAGGTCAGGAGTTCGAGACCAGATTTTTAGTCTCTACTAAAAATACAAAAATTAACCAGGCGTGGTGGTGCACGCCTGTAGTCCTAGCTACTTGGGAGGCTGAGGCAGGAGAATCACTTGGACCTGGGATGTGGAGGTTGTGGTGAGCTGAGATTGTGCCACTGCACTCCAGCCTGGGCAACAGAGCAAGACTCCGTTTCAAAATAAAATGAATGAATGAATGAATGAATGAATG